TAGAAGCAGTAGCATCCCATCATCTTACCTTTGATTGCAGAGCTGGCATGCAAAGCAGTCCAGATGATAGACGTTCTCTTTGGCCCTCATCACCATCTCAAAGGCTGGAATCAGCTTGCTGCAGGCTGCACAGTTTCCCGTTACGCCAAACAGCCTGAGCAACACACAGATTATATCATTTAATCCCTAATATGACATTAAACATTCAAAGGAGCCATTTTGATTTCAAACCAAGCAGGGAGCCTCTAAAAATGATCCTGAAGCATCCAGTTCTTTAAATGATGGATAGAAATGCTGCTGAGGGATCGATCGACATTAAAGGAAATGACTTGTTTATTGATCCAGGTCAATGGGAACTACGGAAGCTGATCTGGACCAAAAAACATGGAGCTGAACTCCTGTTTAATGAGGCTAAAGCTGAGCTCTGTTTCCACACAGATCATGTATGCGGTCCCGTTTGTAAAGACAAGCAGTCAAAAACTGGTTATTGAGCCTGTTTTAACAGAACGATAACAAAGTTACCTTTTCCAACTATGTCATTCATTCATTTATAAAAGATAAAGGTTCCAAACTAAATATTTAGTTTGAAGCTAAATATTTATTTAACAAACGTAGCATTTAGCTAATATCTAGCTAGTTAAATGTTTAGCTAGATAGGTGCTAGCCATATTGCCAATTAAATATTTTGTTTATTTATTTAACAAACTAAATTTAATATTTATTTAACAAACTAAGCATTTAGCTAACATCTAGCTAGTTAAATGTTTAGCTAGATAGGTGCTAGCCATATTGTCAATTAAATATTTTGTTTATTTATTTAACAAACTAAATTAAATATTTATTTAACAAACTAAGAATTTAGCTAGCAGCTAGCTAAACATTTATTTAAAAAAGTATTTAGCTAACATCTAGCTAGTTAATATTTAGCTAGATAGGTGCTAGCCATATTGCCAATAAAATATTTAGTTTATATTAACAAACTAAATTAAATATTTATTTAACAAACTAAGTATTTAGCTAACATCTAACTAGTTAAATATTTAGCTAGATAGGTGCTAGCCATATTGTCAATTAAATATTTTGTTTATTTATTTAAAAAAACAAATATTTAGTTTTGAATTCTGATTTTTATAAATGAATGACAGTGAAAAAATGACTTGGAAAAAACTGCTTTATTTTTCTTTTAAAACCGCTAAATAACCATGAATATGGCTCCTAACCACATAATCATGTTTACCTCCATCGAAGAAGACATTTAACAGATAAAGTATAAAGAAGAATAATGTAGCTAATTTAATAAGAGATGTGCTTCTTTAATTAGAAAGATTTTTCATCGTTTGTCTCCTAAAAGCAGCATTTATTTATTTTTCTCCAAACTATGAGCGAGCTGCAGCATGGATCCAAGAAGAAGATGGAAGACTGAGGAAAAAGACTTCCCTGTTAGTCTGCTGCTCCAGGGACAATACAGCATTTATTAAGTATTCATGTCTGTTACTAAACAGCAACCTAGACCCAGCAGCCAAGGGCAGAAATAAGCCATAACTAAATCTGAGAGCAAAATAAGCCATTAGGCAAAGTTCTGGAGGCACTTCACTTCACAGCCCCCTGCTGAAATGAGAAAAGTGTACGGCCCTCTGAGGCTGCAGAGAACACAATCTGATAGATGATCTCAGGGAGCCAGATATTCAGGGGTGGTTATTAACCTTCAGAGAGGATGTAACCCACAGGCAGAAAACAGGATGGATTTTACCTCATTGTAAAACACCTCAAAGAGAAAACGGCAAACATGGAGGCCGGTGGGGTAGGAAAGGCATCTGAATGCATTATGATGCCTTCACTGAAAACATGTATTATTGAATAACTCCAAACCTGCCCAAATATAGTAACACCTCAATCCTGCACTTTCACATGTTCAACTTTATTCAATTCTGTTTATTTTATAGCATCATTATCATCTTAGGCCACTTTACAGAGACAATTCAACCAGATCATCCAGTCAGATTGGTTCAAAATTCTATTCAGTTTATTTCTATGGCGCCAATTCACAACACGTCATCTCAAGGCACTTTACAGTTCACCAGATCATCCACCCAGATTTAATAAAAGTTTTCTAAGGGAAACCAGCTGATTGCATCAACTCGTTGACGTTTTAGCAATCCCTCACACTAAGCATGCATGTAGCTACAGTGGAGACGAA